AAACTCAACTTGGTCATGTTACCTGTAGCTTCAAATGCCTATTTGTTTTCTTTTTTATTTCATTATGGCTACTCTTTCAAACTATTGTTTGCATTGTGTCAGAATAAAAAATTTGGGAATAAGAAGGCAAAACCAACTCTGAACCAGTAAACATTTAGGAAATTGCCACTGAAGAAACCAGAAATCGGCTGAGGCACCCAAACCAATGACAGCAAGCCAGAATTGGAGCAAGGCAACAGCTGTTCCCTGATTAAAAAAGAACTGTCCTCTTGCACCCTGAACTCAATATGCCAGCCTGAAAACCAAAGCTCACATCTGAAAATTCATTACAAACCATAATTAATAAGAAAAATGAGAAAAAAAGCCAAAGAAATGCACGAGTTCTTAGTGATATTGTGCTGGATTTAGTCGCAAGGCAACCGGCTGTTCTCGGATTCATCCACCCCTCCAGCTGACTGCCTGTGGAGTTCTGACTGAATTATCCTGAAAATCGCAGTGAAACTCAGTTTGGAGGCAATTAATATCTGTCACCTCAGTCAAAGTTTCCATTGTATTTTCCAAAACAGAAAAACTCACCTTGGTCGTGTTACCTGTAGATTTCTAAGCTACAAACACCTATCTGTTGTGTTTTTTATTTCATAATGGCTACTGTGCCTAAACTCTTGTTTGTATTGTGGCAGAATACAAAATTTGGGAAGGAAGAAGGCAAAACCAACTCAGACCCAGAAAACATTTAGGAAATTGCCACACAAGAAACCACAAATTGGCTGAGGCACCAAAACCAATGACAGCAAGCCAGAATTGGAGCAAGGCAACAGCTGTGCCCTGATTGAAAAAGAACATCCTCTTGTGCCCTGAACTCAATATGCCAGCCTCAAAATCGATGCTCACATCAGAAAATTCATTACAAACCATGATAAATAAGGAAAATCAGAAAAAAGCCAAAGAAATGCAAGAATCCATAATGATATTGGGCTTGATTCAGTCACAAGGAAACCGGCTGTTCCCAGATGCATCCACCCCTCCAGCTGACTGCCTGTGGAATTCTGACTGAATTAACCCGAAAATCGCAGTGAAACTCAGTTTGGAGGCAATTAATATCTGTCACCTCAGCCAAAGTGATCCATTTGATTTTCCAAAACACAAAAACTCACCTTGGTCGTGTTATCTGTAGATTTATATGCTTCGAACACCTTTTGTTGTGTTTTTTATTTCATAATGGCTACTCTGTCGAAACTCTTGTTTGTATTGTGTCAGAATGCAAAATTTGGGAAGGAAGAAGGCAAAACCAATTCAGACCCAGAAAACATTTAGGAAATTGCCACTCAGGAAACCTGAAGTCAGCTGAGGCACCCAAAACAATAACAGCAAGCCAGATTTGGAGCAAGCCAACAGCTGTATACTGTTTGAAAAAGACCATTCCTCCGGTGCCCTGAACTCCATATTGCAGCCTTAAAACCAAAGCTCACATCAGAAATTTCATTTCAAACCTTGATAAATAAGGGAAATGTGAAAGAGCCAAGGAAATGCAAGAGTCCTTTGTGATATTTGGCTGGATTTAGAGAAAAGGAAACTGCCTGTTTCAACATTCATCCCCCCTTCCATAGACTGACTTTGGAATTCTGATTGAATTCACCTCAAAATCTCACTCACACTGTATTTGGAGGGAATTAGAATCTGTCCCCTCAGCAGAACGGTTCCATGTCATTTTCCAAAAAACACAGAAACTCATATTGGTCGTGTTGCCTGTAGAATTCTAATCCTGAAAGGGCAATATGCTGTTTTTTTTTTTTTTTCATAATGGCTACTCTGTCCAAACTCTGCTTGTATTGCATCAGAATACAAAATTTTTGAAGGTAGAAGGCAAAACCAACTCAGACCCAGAAAACATTTAGGAAATTGCTGCTGAAGAAACCAAAAGTCAGCTGAGGCACCCAAACCAATGACAGCAAGCCAATTGGAGCTAGCCAACAGCTGTGCCCTGATTGAAAAAGTTCCTTCCTTTTGTGACCTCAACTCCATATTGCAGCCTCAAAACCAAAGCTCACATCAGAAAATACATTACAAACCATGATAAATAAGAAAAATGAGACAAAAGCCAAAGAAATGCAAGAATCCATAATGATATTGGGCTTTTTTAGTCTCAAGGAAACCGGCTGTTCCCGGATTCTTCCATCCCTCCAGCTGACTGCCTGTGGACTTCTGACTGAATTAACCTGTAAATCGCAGTGAAACTCAGTTTGGAGGCAATTAATATTTGTCACCTCAGCCAAAGTGTTCCATTTTATTTTCCAAAACAAAAAAACTCACCTCGGTCTTGTTACCTGTAGATTTATAAGCTTCAAAGCCCTATTTGCTGTGGTTTTTATTTCATAATGGCTACTCTGTCCAAACTCTTGTTCGTATTGCGTCAGAATACAAAATTTGGCAAGGAAGACGGCAAAAGCAACTCAGACCCAGAAAACATTTAGGAAATTGCCACTCAAGAAACCACAAATTGGCTGAGGCACCCAAAACAATGATAGCAAGAAAGAATTGGAGCAAGCCAACAGCTGTGCCCTGTTTGAAAAAGAACCTTCCTCTTGTGTCCTGAACTCAATATGCCAGCCTCAAAATCGATGCTCACATCAGAAAATTCATTACAAACCAGGATAAATAAGAAAAATGAGAAATGAGCAAAGAAATGCGCCAGTTCTTAGTGATATTGGGTAGGATTTAGTTACAAGGAAACCGGCTGTTCCCGGATTCATCGAACCCTCCAGGTGACTGCCTGTGGAATTCTGACTGAATTAACCTGATATTCGCAGTGAAACTCAGTTTAGAGTCTATTGAAATCTGTCACCTCAGCCAAAGTGTTCCATTTGATTTTCCCAAACACAAAAACTCACCTTGTTCGTGTTACCTGTAGATTTCTTAGCTTCAAATGCCTATTTGTTTTCTTTTTTATTTCATGATGGCTACTCTGTCCAAACTCTTGTTTGTATTGCCTCAGAATACAAAATTTGGGAAGGAAGAAGGCAAAACCAACTCAGACCCAGAAAACATTTAGGAAATTTCCACTCAATAAACCACACATCTGCTGAGGCACCCAAAAGCATGAAAGAAAGATAGAACTGGAGCTAGCCAACAGCTGTGCCATGTTTGAAAAAGACCATTAATCCAGTGCCCTGAACTCAACATGCCAGCCTCAAAACCAAAGCTCACATCAGAAAACTCATTACAAACCATGATAAATAAGAAAAATGCAAAAAAAGCCAAGAAATGCAAGAATCCATAATGATATTGGGCTTGATTTAGTCGCAAGGAAACCGTCTGTTTTTGTTGTGTTTTTTATTTCATACTGGCTACTGTGCCCAAACTCTTGTTTGCATTGTGTCAGAATACAAAATGTGGAAAGGAAGAAGACAAAACCAACTCAGACCCAGAAAACATTTATGAAATTGCCGCTTAAGAAACCAAAAGTCAGCTGAGGCACCGAAAGCAATGACAGCAAGCCAAAATTGGAGCAAGCCAACAGCTGTGCCCTGATTGAAAAAGAACCTTCCTCTTGTGCCCTGAACTCCATATTGCAGCCTCAAAACTAAAGCTCACATCAGAAAATTCATTACAAACCATGATAAATAAGAAAAATGAGAAAAAAGCCAAAGAAATGCAAGAGTTCTTTGTGATATTTGGCTGGATTAGACACAAGGAAACTGACTGTTTCCAGATTTGTCCCCCCCTTCCACAGACTGACTTTGGAATTCAGATTGAATTTACCTCAAAATCGCACTCACACTCAATTTGGAGGGAATTAGAATCTGTCGCCTCAGCAGAAGGGTTCCATGTCACTTTCCAAAACAAAGAAACTCATCTTGATCATGTTGCCTGTAGATTTCTAATCCTGAAAGGGCAATTTGCTGTGTTTTTTTTTTTTTTCTTTCATAATGGCTACTCTATCCAAAATCTTACAAACCTTGATAAATAAGAAAAATGAGAAAAAAGCCGAAGAAATACAAGAAGCTTTGTGGTATTTGGCTGGATTTAGTCGCAAGGAAACCGGCTGTTCCCAGATTCATCCACCCCTCCAGGTGATGGCCTGTGGAATTCTGACCTAACTAACCTGAAAATCGCAGTGAAACTCAGTTTGGAGGCAATTAATATCTGTCACCTCAGCCAAAGTGTTCCATTTGATTTTCCAAAACACAAAACCTCACCTTGCTCTTGTTACCTGTAGATTTCTAAGCTTCACAAGCCTATTTGTTGTGTTTTTTATTTCATAATGGCTGCTCTCCCCAAAATCTTGTTTGTATTGCGTCAGAATACAAAATTTGGGAAGGAAGAAGGCAAAACCAACTCAGACCCAGAAAACTTTTAGGAAATTGAGGCTCAAAAAGCAAAAGTCAGCTGAGGCATCCAAAACAATGACAGCAAGCCAGAATTGGAGCAAGCCAACAGCTGTGCCCTGATTGAAAAAGAACCTTCTTCTTGTGCCCTGAACTCCATATTGCAGCCTCAAAACCAAAGCTCACATCAGAAAATTCATTACAAACCATGAAAAATAAGGAAAATGAGAAAAAAGCCAAAGAAATGCAAGAATCCATAATGATATTGGGCTTCATTGAGTCGCAAGGAAACCGGCTGTTCCCGGATTCATCAACCCTCAGCTGACTGCCTGTGGAATTCTGACTGTATTATCCTGAAAATCGCAGTGAAACTCAGTTTGGAGGCAATTAATATTTGTCACCTCAGCCAAAGTGTTCCATTGTATTTTGCAAAACACAAAACCTCACCTTGGTCATGTTACCTGTAGATTTCTAAGCTTCACAAGCCTATTTGTTGTGTTTTTTATTTCATAATGGCTGCTCTCCCCAAAATCTTGTTTGTATGGCATCAGAATACAAAATTTGGGAAGGAAGAAGGCAAAACCAACTGAGATTCAGAAAATTTATATCTGTCACCTCAGCCAACGTGTTCCATTTGATTTTCCAAAACACAAAACCTCACCTTGGTCAGGTTACCTGTAGATTTCTAAGCTTCAAATGCCTATTTGCTGTGTTTTTCATTACAAAATGGCTGCTCTGCCCAAACTCTTGTTTGTATGGCGTCAGAATACAAAATTTGGGAAGGAAGAAGGCAAAACCAACTCAGACCCTGAAAACATGCAGGAAATTGCTGCTCAAGAAACCAAAAGTCAGCTGAGGCACTCAAAACAATGACAGCAAGCTAGAATTGGAGCAGGCCAACAGCTGTGCCCTGTTTGAAAAAGGCCATTCCTCCGGTTCCCTGAACTGCATATTGCAGCCTCAAAACCAAATCTCACATCAGAAAATTCATTACAAACCTTGATAAATAAAAAATGAGAAAAAAGCCAAAGAAATGGCAAGAATCCATAATGATATTAGGCTTGTTTTATTCGCATGGAAACCGGCTGTTCCCAGATTCATCCACCCCTCCAGCTGACTGCCTGTGGAATTCTGACTGAATTAACCTGAATATCGCAGTGAAACTCAGTTTGGTAGCAATTAATATCTGTCACCTCAGCCAAAGCGTTCCATTTTATGTTCCAAAACACAAAAACTCACCATGGTCGTGCTACCTGTAGATTTCTAAGCTTCAAAATCCTATTTCTTGTGGTTTTTATTTCATAATGGCTACTCTGCCCAAACTCTTGTTTGTATGGCATCAGAAAAGATAATTTGGGAAGGCAGACAGCAAAACCAACTCAGACCCAGAAAACCCATAATGATATTGGGCTGGATTTATTCGCAAGGATACCGGCTGTGCCCAGATTCATCCACCCCTACAGCTGACTGCCTGTGGAATTGTGACTGAATTCACCTGAAGTCAGCCGCGGCACCCAAAACAATGACGGGAAGCAAGAATTGGAGCAGGCCAACAGCTGTGCCCTGTTTGAAAAAGACCATTCCTCTTGTGCCCTGAACTCCATATGCCAGCCTCAAAACCAAAGCTCACATCAGAAAATTCATCACGAACCATGATAAATAAGAAAAAGGAGAAAAAAGCCAAAGAAATGCAAGAATGCATAATGATATTCAGCTTCATTTCGTCACAAGGAAACCGGCTGTTCCTGGATTCATCCACCCCTCCAGCTGACTGCATGTGGAATTCTGACGGAATTCACCTGAAAATCGCAGTGAAACTCAGTTTGGAGGCAATTACTATCTGTAACCTCAGCCAAAGTGTTCCATTTGATTTTCTAAAACACAAAAACTCACCTTGGTCGTATTACCTGTAGATTTCTAAGCTTTAAACGCATATTTGTAGTGTTTTTTATTTCATAATGGCTACTCTGCCGAAACTCTTGTTTGCATGCCATCAGAAAAGAAAATTTGGGAAGGAAGAAGGCAAAACCAACTCAGACCCAGCAAACATTTAGGAAATTGCCGCTCAAGAAACCAAAAGTCAGCTGAGGCACCCAAAGAAATGACAGCAAGCCAGATTTGGAGCAGGCCAACAGCTATGCCCTGTTTGAAAAAGAGTATTCCTCCGGTACCCTGAACTCCATATGCCAGCCTCAAAACCAAAGCTCACATCAGAAAATTCATTACAAACCATGATAAATAAGTAAAATGAGAAAAAAGCCAAAGAAATGCAAGAATCCATAATGATATTGGGCTTGATTGAGTCGCAAGGAAACCGGCTGTTCCCAGATTCATCCACCACTCCTGCTGACTGCCTGTGGAATTCTGACTGATTAACCAGAAAATCGCAGTGAAACTCACTTTGGAGGCAATATATATCTGTGACCTCAGCCAAAGTATTCCATTTGATTTTCCAAAACATAAAAACTCACCTTGGTTATGTTACCTGTAGATTTCTAAGCTTCAAAGGCCTATTTGTAGTGTTTTTTAATTCATAATGGCAACTCTGTCCAAACTATTGGTTGTATCGTGTCAGAATACAATATTTGGGAAGGAAGAAGGCAAAACCAACTAAGATCCAGAAAACATTTAGTAAATTGCCACTCAAGAAACCAAAAGTCAGCTGAGGCACCCAAAACAATGACAGCAAGCCAGAATTGGAGCATGCCAACAGCTGTGCCCTGATTGAAAAAGAACCTTCCTCTGGTGACCTGAACTCAATATGCCAGCCTCAAAACCAAAGCTCACATCAAAAAATTCATTACAAACCATGATAAATAAGAAAAATGAGAAAAAAGCGAAAGAAATGCAAGAATCCATAATGATATTGGGCTGGATTTAGTCGCCAGGAAACCGGCTATTCCCGGATTCATCCACCGCTCCTGCTGATTGCCTGTGGAATTCTGACTGAATTCACCTGAAAATCGCAGTGAAACTCAGTTTGGAGGCAATTAATATCTGTCTCCTCAGGCAAAATGTTCCATTTGATTTTCCAAAACACAAAAACTCACCTTGGTCGTGTTACCTGTAGATTTCTAAGCTTCAAACGCCTATTTGCTGTGTTTTTCATTACAAAATGGCTACTCTGCCCAAACTCTTGTTTGTATTGTGGCAGAATACAAAATTTGGGAAGGAAGAAGGCAAAACCAACTCAGACGCAGAAAACATTTAGGATATTGCCGCTCAAGAAACCACAAATCGTCTGAGGCTCCCAAAACAATGACAGCAAGCCAGAATTGGAGCAGGCCAAGAGCTGTGCCCTGTTTGAAAAAGACCATTCCCAGCCGGCTCCGCGGCTCATTAAGCTAATCCTCCACCTAGCGGCCCCAGCACACCAGGTTCTAGTCCCGGTCTGGGTGCGGATTCTGTCCCGGTTGCCCCTCTTCCAGGCCAGCCCTCTGCTGTGGCCAGGGAGTGCAGTGGAGGATGGCCCAAGTGCTGGGGCACTGCACCCCATGGGAGACCAGGAAAAGCACCTGGCTCCTGGTTCCTGCAATCGGATCAGCGCGGTGCGCCCGCCGCAGCACACTGGCCGCGGCGGCCATTGGAGGGTGAACCAACGGCAAAGGAAGAAATTTCTCCCTGTCTCTCTCTCTCACTGTCCACTCTGCCTGTCAAGAAAAAAAAAAAAAAGGAAAAAGACCATTCCCCCGGATCCTGAACTCCATATTGCAGCTTCAAAACCAAAGCACACCTCAGAAAATTCATTACAAACCATGATAAATAAGAAAAATAAGAAAAAGGCCAAAGAAATGCAAGAATCCATTATGTTATTGGGCTTGATTCACTCGAAGGAAACACGCTGTTCCAGGATTCATCCACCCCTGCAGCTGACTGCCTGTGGTATTCTGACTGAATTAACCTGAAAATCACAGTGAAACTCAGTTTGGAGGCAATTAATATCTGTCACCTCAGCCAAAGTGTTCCATTTGATTTTCCAAAACACAAAAACTCACCTTGGTCGTGTTACCTGTAGATTTCTAAGCTTCAAACGGCTATTTGTTGTGTTTTTTATTTCATAATACCTACTCTGTCCAAACTCTTGTTTGTATTGCATCAGAATACAAAATTTGGGAAGGAAGAAGGCAAAACCAACACAGACCCAAAAAACATCTAGTAAATTGACACACTAGAATCCACAAATTTGCTGAAGCACTCAAAACATTGACAGCAAGCCAGAATTGGAGGAGGCCAACAGCTGTGCCCTGATTGAAAAGAACCATCCTCTTGTTCCCTGAACCCAATATGCCAGCCTTAAAACCAGAGCTCACATCAGAAAATTTATTACAAACCATGATACATAAGAGAAATGAGAAAAAGCCAAAGAAATGCAAGAATCCATAATGATATTGGGCTTGATTTAGTCGCAAGGAAACCGGCTGTTCCTGGATTCATCCACCCCTGCAGCTGAATGCCTGTGGAATTCTGATGGAATTAACCTGAAAATCGCAGGGAAACTCAGTTTGGAGGCAATTAATATCTGTCACCTCAGCCAAAGTGTTCCATTTTCTTTTCCAAAACACAAAAACTCACCTTGGTCGTGTTACCTGTAGATTTCTGAGCTTCAAACGCCTATTTGTTGTACGTTTTATTTCATAATAGCTACTCTGTCCAAACTCTTGTTTGTATTGCATCAGAATACAAAATTTGGGAAGGAAGAAGGCAAAACCAACTCAGACCCAGAAAATATTTAGGAAATTACTGCTCAAGAAACCAAAAGTAAGCTGAGGCATGCAGAACAATGACAGCAAGCCAGAATTGGAGCAAGCCAACAGCTGTGCCCTGATTGAAAAAGAACCTTCCTCTTGTGCACTGAACTCAATATGCCAGCCTCAAAACCAAAGCTCACATCAGAAAATTCATTACAAACCACGATAAATAAGGGAAATCTGAGAAAGCCAAAGAAATTCAAGAGTCCTTTGTGGTATTTGGCTGGATTTAGACACAAGGAAACTGGCTGTTTCAGGATTCATCCCACCCTTAAACAGACTGACTTTGGAATTCTGATTGAATTCACCTCAAAATTGCACTCACACTCAATTTGGAAGAAATTAGTATCTGTCCCCTCAGCAGAAGGGGTCCATGTCACTTTCCAAAACAAAGAAACTCATCTTGATTGTGTTGCCTGTAAAGTTCTAATCCTGAAAGGCCAATTTGCTTTGTATTTTTTTTTTCTTTCATAATGGCTACTCTGTAAAAATATTGCTTGTATTGCATCAGAATACAAAATTTGGGAATAAGAAGGCAAAAGTAACTCAGACCCAGAAAACATTTAGGATATTGCCACTCAAGAATCCACAAATCAGCTGAGGCACCCAAAACAATGACAGCAAGCCAGAATTGGAGCAACCCACAGCTGTGCCCTGATTGAAAAACAACCCTCCTCTTGTGCCCTGAACTCAATATGCCAGCTTAAAACCAAAGCTCACATCAGAAAATTCATTACAAACCATGATAAATAAGAAAAATGAGAAAAAGCCAAAGAAATGCAAGAATCCATAATGATATTGGGCTTGATTTAGTCACAAGGAAATCGGCTCGTCCAAGATTCATCCCCCCCTCCAGCTGACTGCCTGTGGAATTCTGACTGAATTACTCTAAAATCGCAGTGACAATCAGTTTGGAGGCAATTACTATCTGTCACCTCAGCCAAAGTGTTCCACTTTATTTTCCAAAACACAAAAACTCACTTGGTCTTGTTACCTGTAGATGTATAAGCTTCAAACGCCTATTTGTTGTGTTTTTTATTTCATAATGGCTACTCTGTCAAAACTCTTGTTTGTATTGCCTCAGAATACAAAATTTGGGAAGGAA